GGTAGAATTCTATATGCCAGTACTCATAATGATGCCTGTTACATGATCGATTTCCAGAATATATGATTAGATACACTTCCTAAGGAACCAGTAACAGTATGAGGTGCTAAGTCTTGTTAGGACTAAGGTAGCCCCTAAGATAACCTTCCCTGATCGGTTTCCTCTCTCTCATATCCCACAGGCGCATGGCTGAAAAATGCATAGATGATGTGACTTCTCTCAAGCAGTATGTACCCACATGGTAATGTGGTTCTTAGATTTTTAACCCAAGTGCTATTTTATCTTGGAGTTGGAAACTCTTGAGAAGCCTTTGCAAAACCTCGCAAAGGGAAAACTTGATGTGCTCAGGGCATGAATGCCATTCTGATGAGCTCTTTGGAGAGATATGAAGGGGAAAATTGGAACATTGTGAAATCAAACCGATAAATACAATGTCTTACAACTCCAACTTTGGTTGGGAATTATTGGTTCGAGTCACACTTTCCACTGGATTACTGTCCATGAGTAGCATTCATCAAAGAGCAACACAGTCATTTGTTAAATATCTGTAAGTCAGATTTTTTTCCATCTAGTCCAACATGTCCCGTCCACCTCAGTCAGCTGGCCCTGCTCCCTGCTTAGTCTCATTTCAGTGGCTTTGCTAATGTTTATGCTGTCTCTCCTTTAGCGTAGGGACATCTGCTGCAGCATTTAAATCCATCCTGGGCCCTCCCTTTTCACTGTTATTATTCTCTCCTTATTCTTTGATGCAAGTTTTGTCTTCCCAGTAATGCATTCCTGGAGGTGAAGCGGGGATACACTTCTTTTCCAATCTTAGTTTCCAGCAGAGTGCAGTGCCAAAGAAAAAACTCTAGACCAGTTGTTCCCAAACCCAGCCAATTTCCAGAATCACCTGGAAGTTTTTTTAAAAAAGATCTATTGAATCGAAATCTGCAGAAATAAGACCCAAGACTCTGCTTTTAATAAAAAGTTTCAGTAGGTAAGTCTGATGGTAGGTCAAGTTTGAGAATTAGCACAGTGGGAAAGGAATTTGTATAGAGTTAGTACTTAGTTAGGTGGTAGAGTTGCTGAGACTTGGAATTGTCCCACCAAACTAAAAACTTTTCCTAAGAGTTGTTCTGTGTATCCTTACCATTGGAGCCCACGGGAACATTAGGCAGCTATGACACATCCAAACATTGGCTTTTCACTCCCTGGAGATATTTATGTTTTACTTATTTTTATATCCTGCATTATATCCACCTCCAAACTAAATACCACTGCTCTTACCAGTTAACCAGTTTTGCAAGGAGATAAATAAGGCTTTGCTTGGCAACTATAATTTTTCATCCCTATTGCTTAAAAGATGGCTCTTCCTTGGCCAACATACCACATAAACACCATTCAACTTAGTGCTTAATAATGACTTTACTGGGCCTCCCCGATGGTGCAGCGGTTGAGCGCTGGGTTGCAAAGCTGCCTGCAGCCTCTGCGGCGCTGGTTCGATCCCCGGTGGCCGGGTGAGGGTCCCACATGGCGCGCAGACCTCTCCTGCTGCCCGCTGCTCCCCTCGGCAGTGTACTTCAGTCCTTCTGCCTGCTCTGCTCCCCGCTCTGGCTCTGGTGAATTCTCTCACCCTCCTGCACTTCTGACTGTGCCCAGTGCTTGTATAAATAAATAAATAAATAAATAAATCTTTAAAAAAAAAAAAAGAAAGAAAGAAAAAGCCTTGCTCTCCCTAAATATTAAAATAATAATAATAATAATGACTTAACTCATGACATACTTGTCCATTCTCAGAAGGTACAATCCCCCAATGATACTTTCAACTCATTCATCATAATTTTCTCAGCTGTGACTATTTCAGGCTGGTGTTGGGGTGGGGTCTCCATTCATTTATTCTGGCATATGCTCAGCAGCAGTTTTCCACCTTCATATACTCACAGCCAGCTTTTCTGAGATGTTTGCCTGCAGCCTTATGGTCTGTGTCTTGGACTATCTCTTCAGCCTTTAATCTCAGGTGATGCATATGCTTTAATATGTCCACATGACAAGTTCCTCTGAATCTAGAGGTATCAAATTTCACTTTTTTTAAAAAAAAGATTTATTTTATTTATTTATGCATACAAGAACTGGGGTGTAGGCCAGAGGTGTGTGTGTGTGGGGGGGCAGTGAGAGAATTCACCAGAGAGAGAGTGGAGATCAGAACAGAAAGATTTACTGAAATACACTGCTGAGGGGAGCAGCAGGCGAGACAGGAGAGGTCTGCTGCACCATATGGGTTAGCTTCCTGACCAGGGATCGAACTCATGCTGCATTGGCTGAAGATAACTTCATAGTGCTGAGACTTGCAACACCAGGGGAGGACCTCAAATTTCACTTTTCATGTACTATCTACTTATTTTATTTTGAGTTACATGAATGTACATATATATAATCAAAATGACATGATATCAATCTTAAATAAAATCATTTATTGAGAACTTAATATGTGGAGGGCAATGTACTGGTTAGGTATTAATAAGATAGGGTCCTTGTTCTAGAGAGGACCATACTCTGATGGGAGATATAGAATAAAATTCATAAAAGTACAATTTACAATGTGAGAAATTAAATACCAAAGCCAAACGAATAACCCAGGCATTAATCATTTTTTGGCTTTGGATGAAGATTTGACCATGAAGGCTTGACCTGGCTTAAAAACTTCATGGGGAGATTACAGCAAGTGCACAATAAATGCCTGCCAAATGAATAAAGAAATGAGTGGTAAGACAACAAATGAGTGGATGATGGTAAGACAACAACTTTGACTGGGAATACAGAACATATCCAAGAGAAGAAATACCCACACATACACACACACGCTCATACGCGCACAAACATACACAATTTCCTCACCCATGAAGAAAAGCATAAGTGAGAAATCAACCTCCTTGTTAAGGTTAATCTTCGTATTATTGATGATAATCATTTATTGAGCAGTAACCAAATATTTCTTATTTTCAGTACATAGATTCAACACTTGCTCTATAAATTCATTGTTTCAGAGTATGAAAGGAGATGAGGGAGATGTCTTTCAACAATTGAGTTATATATGGTAACTATCTGATGTAGTTTGTAACCAAATAATTGATATTCCATCCTGTTCCAAAGCAGATCTGACATCAAACAATTTGCAAGGCCCAAGATAGGAAGTAAGATACAAAGAGGGTGAAGAATGGGACAGGAAAAATAAATTAAAAGAAGCTGGACTAATTGTGTCTTCTTGAAGCTGGGGTTAAAGGGAGCACAAGCTACCTAGAACTAGGAATTGAATAAGTTCATGGGAGAAGAGAAAAGGAAACTTTTGTTCTTGGTTCCAGTTTCTGAAAGAAATTTTTTCATGGAGCTATGTCTAATCCCAACCCCTTAATGAAGCACTGCTATTCCTATTTTTACTACTCATAGAACTCTCACTACCAGCTAGCCAGCTAGACTTGACATTTCATGTGAGAGGCATTGTGATAAATCCTGTACATACATTAAAAAAAATTAATCCTGTGAGTAGTCCTATAACCTGGCCCTCTTACAGGCAGCCCTTCCTCATGTGCAGCCCATCCCAAAGGCAGGCGGAAGCTCTGTGTGAGCGGGTCTTCTCCAGCCTGGGAATCAATTGCAGAGTGTGAGCAGCTGCAGCTGACAGGAAGCCTGCTCAATGGCAGATAAGAAAATTCCACTTCAGAGACAACTGCTACCTAGAGAGCAGCACAAGGAGACTCAGCGGGAGGTTTCAAGAATGAGCAAGGGAACAACCATCTTTAGTCATTGGGGATACTGGTTTAAACCAACTGCCATCTTTGTTGTATAGAAGCCATTGTGGTGTGAAGGCCAATACGCCAGAGTCAGAGAAGACATTCCAGACCTGTTCTGCCATTGTCAGCGGAGTCAATTTGAGCATGTCTCTCCACATCTCTTATGATCATCTGCAGTTTCTCCATCTGCTGTTTGTGGTGGAGAAGGAGTTCCAGCATCTCCTATGCTAATTTCATAGAAAAGGTTGTGAGAGTACAGTAATGGAAATGAAAGCTACAATACCATATTCAGCCCTGATTTAAAATATTATATGTTATTGATTCTGAGAATCAAGTGCTGAGAGTCACTAAAATTCTGCATCCTTTTTTTTTCAGAATTTCTTATTCTATTCTTTTGTTCTCTACTACCTCTATGTCCCTTCGATGTACCCCAAATCCTTCATAGCCATTGATTTCTCAGCCTTGCCTGTCCTTTCATCATCCCTTAGTCCTACATGACCCTAAAGAAAAAGGAAAGGAAAGACTAGGAAAGGGAATACTATTTATTATTATTATTTATTTTTTAAAAAGGTAATTTTATGTTTAAAAAACAACTTTCCAAGTATTACCTTCATGTACCAAGTCATCATTTTCCCACACCACTTCTAGTGTGTCTCTGTGCACTTGTGATTTTCAAATGGCTGTTGTTACAGGGTAGACACATTACCTGGTTCTTCTAGTTCTATGTAACTTTACTTATAAAGCAGTTTTCAAGTTGCTACGTCACCTTCAAAATGATTTTTGCTACTGGTCATAAACTATTCTATGGGATAGAACATCTCATGATGAAAATAATAAAGTTGTTATTGTTGAATATCTAAATTCAACAATATCATTGTTTTCTCAGATGACAAAATAAATTTTGCCATAATGAACAACTTGCATGTATAGCCTCTCCCTCCCCCTCACCCTGTCTTGTGAATAAGAGGAGAAAACATTTACAATTTTTTTTTCTAAAAATCAGGCACATTTTTCTAAACTCTGCATAAGCTGAGCACTTATCAGCTTCCCTGACCCATCTCTGTTTTATCTTGCTTTATCCTCATGGGATCTTCTGATCAGTGAGGCAAGAATTTAGCTGCTGTTTCTAATCATGACTTTTCCCATCAACGAGTCTCTTTGAACACTGTTTCTTGTTCTCTGAAAAAGCCAGAAGAATTTCATAGATTCCCTGATAATACTTGCCTCATGCTTGTTAACTATGCTGAAATGATCTTGTCCAAAGCAATAAGGGGAATTCTATCCAACAGGGAGATTTCCACCTCCAGGCGATAGTGGTGTGATTGTTCTTTGACCTATGGAGAAGTAGAATGGAGAGCTGTATCAACCGGAGTCCAACCAGGAAAACAGGGACTATCTATGCCTTTAAAATGGAGGACAATTAATCCAGTTTGATGGTGGTGCAGAAGATGGAAAAGTCAAGAAACCTAGTGGAGATGGTGAGCAATTGCTATGCAGGAGGAGGAAGCCACGGCTTCCCCTAGTCTGAAGGACAGAGCAGAGTCACCTGCTGGCCCCAGGGAGCCTGGCCTGGCAGCACTGAAGTCACGAAGGAGATGAGCCCTGCTGGAGATGCTCCCTGAAGCAGAGAGAAGTGGGGAGAAATGCAGGCCTCTCCCTGCCTTCTAGTCTCCATTACTTCCTCTCCTTGGCTGAACCTGACTGGAAAGAGGTATCATGAGAGTGTGTGACACAACTTGAAGGGGGAACCCCCGCCCTCCCACCTTCTATCGATATCATACCAAGTGAAGCAGAGAAAAGATGAGGAAGGAGCCAAGGGCAAACAAGCCAAGAATCAGTATAGAATCACATCGCCAAGTATTCATTCAAAATAGCACCACGGCAAGATAGAAAAATTCTTTGGAAGAGTAGACCAAGAAAGTGAAAAGGAACTAAACATTTTAATCTGAAGTGTGCATATCAGCCATACTCATTTCCATTCTCAATTACAAATGGTACCTTTAGCTGGTTTGAACCAAAGGATGAGTTGTTGAAGTCTATGAGTAGGTCACAGAAGCTCCAAGAGACCAAGGTCAGGTGTGGAAGCTGCACAACCAGGAACACAGTGCAAGTTACACTGGGACCAGCTTTTATCACAAAGGTGCAATCTGCGCCAGGGGACAATCTGTAGTAGACCCTACAACTGGTCCTTCCTGAGGCTGCCTCTGGGTGCAGAAGTCTCCTTGCCAAGAGCCACCAACTCTGTGAAGTAAATTTAGCCTTTGTCCTGACTGCTGGTTTCTGTGAGTTGAAGGCATCTGACTGCCCAGCCAGTGACAGGTGCCTCTATCCCAGCTGCAGAGACTAGAAAAGAGAGTCTGATTTCTACTTGGGGAATGGTCACTGCTATGACTGAATTATGTCTCCTTTCCCAAATTCTTATGTTGAATCCCTACCCCTTGAGGTGAATATAATTGAAGGTAGGGATTTTAGAAGGTAATTGTAGTTAAATTAGGTCATAAGGGTAGGGTCCTAATCTGCCAGGACTGGAGAGAGAAGAGAGAGGATTAAAGAGAGAAAGAGAGGGAGAGGAAAAGACAGGATAGGAGGGGGGTTAGAAGGACAGAGAAATATCTCCATAGTCACCACCAGGAAAATACCATGTGAGCACGGAGTGAGGCCCAGCCAGCGCGCAAGCCGGAAAGAGAGCTCTCACCTGAAACTCACCATGTTGACATCCTGATTTCAGACTTCTAGCCTCTAGGTTCATTAGAAAATATGTTTCTGTTGTTTCTGTCATCAAGTTTATGATATTTTGTTATGGCAGCCTGAGAAGAATAAAACAAGGGCTTAAAGTCCGAAGTCCAAGGTCATCAGAGGAAGGCTACTCACAAGGTGCTGAGGGGTCACTATGTGATTGATGTCCAGTGCACCCATGTTACCAATGTTGGCTCACTGCAGAATTTTGTCAGATCTTCCTGCATGTGTGGCCATTAAAGTGGATACAAACAATGGGTGTGTGGCATCACTGAAGAAATGGTACCAAGCCAATATCACTTGCACATAATAGGGCTGTTATTTTAATTGTCTAGAGCTGATGGAGGCATATCCGCATCCCATGGACACGTGATAACTCTGTTTTCTAACAGAGTCACACCAGAGAAATAAGGCTATTAGCAAACCTTGGAGTCTTCAGAAACTTAGAGACCACTCAGCCTCCTTTCCACCCAACGCCAGATGCTTCCAAGTCGTCTACTTGCTCTAGAAGCTTCTAGAGACCTCTTAATGTTTGAAAGATTTTTTTCCCCCTGACTACTGTTGATATAAATTCCTAAAATGAGGCTCCTCTCCAACAATTTCAAAATGAAATGACCAAATAATGTGCAAAAGTCAGCTCCACTCAGGGACAAGGGTTAGAAAGGCCAGGGTCATTTCCTTTGAGATTATGTTTTGATGGTGTAAGGTTGATTGAGTTATTTTTGTAATAACCATTACTGGGGTGTGCCTTTACATGTCTTTGACTGTATTAGGTTCTGAGTTTAAAAATAAATAATATGTCGTCTTGCTTTCAGTAAACTTATAGTCTAGTAAGGTAAATATAGAGATAATTGTGATATAAGTATAAAAACTGTAAGCAGTGAACAAAATCTGATAAAAGCCAACTAACTCTTTCTGGAGAGAACAAGAGAGGGTTTCAAAGGCAAGGTATATTTGGGGGTGATGCAGATAGAACCATAAGGGTGCTTCTAAGGCTTCTATTTGAGTGACCAGTTGGACACAGCTATGGTAGTAACTTGGGGATGAACCTAGGTAAGCTAGGGCAATGTGGCTAGGTAGGAACAGAGAGTACATAAGCAAAAGTTTCTCTAAGGGCATAATGAAATTAGAGACTTAGGGCCTAAATATAGGGTTGGTGCGACAAGCAGGTGTTTCTCCCATAGAGTGATTTTTAGAGATTATTGAAAGAGCCTTGTTCTTTTTTTCCACTTGGAAAACATAAAACCAAGCAGAACAAAACAAAAATTCTACATATGCTCTCTTCCTCATCTACCCCACTCTGCTGTGTAGTACAAAAACAGCCATACACCATACATACTAGAGTGACTATGACTGTGTACCAATAAATCTTTATTTATAAAATAGACAGCGATCTGGATTTGGCCCAAAGGGGCAAATAAGATCTATAAGATCAAAAATTTGAGAATGCAGTTACTAGTGTACTCCTTGTGATTGTGATTTTGAGGTCCATTCTGAGATTGTGTGTATGTTGGACTGGGGGAAGAAGTCACTGGGAAAAAAAAAAGTGAGGTGTAGATTTGAGAGGTCTCTTTACTTCAGGGAGGAAAGGGCTGGTCCCACTCATTCTCCTGCACTGAGTACCTCCTGGCCACCATCCTGTTGTGTAACAGCAGCTCTGAATTGACTGACTGTTTCCTCCTACCAGCAGCTGCTAGGCAGGAGCTGCATTTTTGTCCCCGAGGTAACTATGCACAGGATAATTTATATTTTGATGTAAACTCACCTTGAGCTCCTTTGAGATGAAAGAGTCTATATAAAACTGAGTTACGACCCAGCTTAATAGGAACGTTGCTGAGTTTTTCCAAAAATGGAGTTAAACACTTTGGCATCTGTAAAGAGCTGGCTGTAAAGGACCGTTGGCCTCTTCAGGAACTCTAGATTTTGCTGTTGATTCTGTCCGATAAATCAGTCTCTCCTCCTCCAAGTCCAAAGGCGGCATTTGTATTTGCCAAAATGCTAAGGAGGAGGCTCTCTGAACGGTCCAAGCTGAGACTGAGTCTTTGCTTTTTAAGTTGTTTGGTAAATGAGGAACACACACACACACACACACACACACACACACACACTGACATTTACCCACCACACTCACAACATGTTTACACACTCATTCATATACACACATTCATTCATTCACTCACACACGTTAGTTTTCCACAGTAACATGTTCCAGAACAGCTATTCCCTTATCCTATAACTTCCTATGGATTCTCATGGATTCTCACTGTGTTAGTTTTGTTTTTACACAAAAGATTTGACTTGGTCATGGTCCTTGTTATTCTGTTCTTTTAACCCCTAGAAGGACTCCTTACTTTGTGGAGCAAAGCTATCCCAGGTGTAACTGCTCTTTCTCTCATGTACAGGTGTAACTCTGTCCAAGGCCCAGGAGCCCACAGGCCCACAGCTCCACACTGAGCTTCCCAGCAGGCGGTATCAGACTGGGCATACCAACATGTCTTTTTTTAGAAAAGACTATAAGTGTCTTATCTTACTCCTTTGGAATTTTCCAGTTATTTAACCTCTAGTTTAGGAAAAGCCAGTTTGAGGGTTCTTCAAATGTCCCTGAGCTCTTCTTACTGCAGATCTCAGAGCTCATTTCACTTGAGGTAGATGGCACTTCTGCTTGCCAACCTACCTCGTTTCCATCTCTCCTCCCTACTGACTAGAAACCTTGTGGTTAAAATAACACACAGCCTCTATTCAGAGCTCAAACTTCGAGCTGCTTCAGGGACAGATTTTGGATTTAAGGAACTCTCAAGAGATACATCCAAGTTGCTTTTTAAATATTCAAGTTTAGACTCTCACGAAGGAAGCAGGACTCTTATCAGGTAAACATTTTCTTTCCTTTTTCATTGTTGTATTGAAAAGATGATGAAGAAAATTGTGTCAGTAAGCCTTGAAAAAAGCCAGCTGCTTTCTAGCTTTTTACATCGAACAGAGCTTGCTTCTCTTTCTCTGAAACAGGAATAAAGTGGTAAAACAAGAATCTCATGGAGAGAAAACTGGAGTGGCAATTTTCTGTTTGTGGAGAAAGGGCTGGGTGTTTCGGGACTAGATATGCCTTGGTGTGGACAGGTCAGGAGGTAGGGACCACGATAGGTCCTTCTCACACACTCTCTGGTGCAGCTGCTTGGAGGCTGGGTGTGTATCCCTCTCTCTCGGGAGTGTTCCCAGTGTTGTATCTTCTTATTCACTAAAACTAAGCTGGTTCTCTTTCCCTTGCTGCTGACTCTTCTAGTAGCTGGGTGTCACGACATATACATATATATGTCTGTCTGTCTGTCTATCTTATATCTATCACCCACTTCTAAATTTTTGTGGGATATAGATCTACTCTCTCTTATTTTTATATTTTAAATTCATACCTTCCTTCAGTGATAAAGATTTGTCTCACACCTACTTGCAAAATGTGTGAACATTTTCTTTGAATGCCCTCTTGAAATAAAATAACAGTGAGCCTTTTTTTTCTGAAAAACTTGCTACCATTCCTCCTGTGTGCACAATTTTTTTGCAAACACTTGTGCTTATAAAATTTTTAAATACATCTCACCATGGTGAAATGAGGTATTTACTTGCTAGTCTCTGTCTCTCCTCCTTACTCACAAGAGATGGCTATGTTTCCTTTAAAATTTTGATTTAAAGAAATTTACATTCTGATTTGATGATAGTGCCCAATCAGTCAATCAACCAACCAACCATTGGTCAATCAAACATTTATTCTCACACATTCTGTCTGTCCTATACTGGAATAGTCACCAGGGTTGGGGGAAGCCTGTCCCAAAGAATTCAACTATCATCATTAGTGTTTATCAAGTATTCTGATTCCTGCCTGCATTAAGTCATAACCAAATAATATAATATTAAAAAATACAAAATGAGGTACTAAATTTTTATCTTCAGATTATAGGTCAGATTGAAGTAACACTATGTCTACCATTGCCACAGAGCCTAAAATGAATCAGGCAGAAAGCTAAGCACTTTGCAGTCACTGCGTTTTATTCTTTTAGCAGTGCTCATTTTCGATATCAGGAACGAGAGGCTCAGAGCGGGTCTGAACCATGCAGCTGATGTGTGGCAGGTTTAGTGCCCCAACCCTGGGTCTGAGGCCAGGGCTCACACACTGGTAGGTGCCAGAAAATGTGTCCAGGAAGATGTGGTCCCTGAGCTGGGACCCAAAGGATGTTTTGCTGCCAAAAGGCCAGAGGGAGCTGTTTTGCAGGTGAGGGCCAGAGTGTTGGGGGCCTCTGTGTTGGGGGACAGCACAGCAAAGCAGGCCCCATAACAGGCAGAAAGGGACATGCTAGGTGGGGAGAGGCAGAGGGTTGGGCACAAATGAGCCATTTGTGGCTTCTGGACAGAGATGCACAATGAGGACAGCAGTGTCAGATCATGGGGTAAGGTGCTCAGACCCAGCTGTGTGAATTGCTGTCCCCACCCGAAAGACTTCCTGCTCGGCCAACTGCAAGACTCAAACCCTCCTACCTTAGGTCTCTGTCCAAATCTCACCTCATCTGAGAGGCTTCTTTGACCCTCCTATTCAAGGAGCACTCCAGGAACATCCCTGTCCACATATTTTATTCTTATGAAATGCACATATAAAAGTTCCCCTTTTAACCACTTGGAAAGTATACAATTTGGTGGAATTTGGTACACTTCCAATGCTGTGTGCTCATCACCACCACCGATTCCAGAACATGTTATCATCCCCAAAGGGAACACCCTAACCTTACACCCATGAAGTAGTCACATTCCTTTCCCTATCCTGGGGGCCCTGGGACACCCCAACATTTTCTTCTCCCTAGGGGTCTGTCTACTCTGGACAGTTCACATAAATAGAATCATACAATATGTGCTCTTTTCTATTTGTTTTCTTTCACTTAGAATAATGTTTCTGCGGCTCATCCATGAGTTAGTATGCCTGGATGTGCATTCCTCTATATGGCTGGATGAGACTCCGTGGCTGTAGAGTCCACATTTGGTTTATCCCTTCATCACTTAATGGACATTTATTTTTTTAATTTATTTTCACTTA